GCACGCCGGCAGCAGCGCAGACCGACGCGGAGTACTCCTAGAGAAATCGCCGGAGAGCCCGGCGAAGGCCCAAGCAGAACAGCAGATGACAATGTATGCCCCTGAAATCAACCATCCACCATTGAAAAGCAGCTCCAGGAGGCTGGGCCTGATGCAATGTAGACTGGCGTGCCGGCCGGGCCCCACAAGTTGGTCAAGTACGGCGCCATCTCCGGAACCTCCTTGAGCACCTCCTCCATGATCTCTGCCCTGGGGATCTCCCCGAAAGCGTTGTGCATGTCAAAAGCGCACAATGCATCGTCAGGGCACAGCACGGCCAGCGCTTTGCCAATGCTCAACATGGTCTCCGGAGCTGCTTGTACACCTATGCCAAGCTGGGTGTCCGACAGAAGCTTCGTAACCTTGCGTTGTGAAATCTCTTGCAAGCACGCCCCAGGCAGCGAGAGTAAAGCCTCCCCTATCATGATGGGCCTCACGTCTGCACCGTCGGCGCCTTTCCGGAGAGGTACTCCCAAGACAGACCTCCACGGCGCAGCCATGACTTCAGGCACAGAGCCAGCGACCCATGCCTGAGCCCAGCCCGTCAACGCCGCGAGGCCGGAGGGGTCGGAGGCAATGTTTTTCAACCTCGAATTCCGCCAAGAACTGGTGCCGGAGGCCTTGCAATCAGCTGTCCGCGATACGACCGCGCTGACAGTCTTCGGCTGCACGACTGGGGGCTTGCACCGAGCGGCCTTGCGCGACAAGCCAGGGCGGTGCCCCATAGAGTCGTTGGCCGGGTCGGTGATGAACTTGCCCTGCATGAGGCCGACGGTATCATTGCAAGAGGGGTGCACGCCGCTGCTCGCTAAGATCCGCCGCCCTGTCCGGACATCCCCATGAAGAACTTTGAAAACGCTGGATTCGAACTGCTTCCGCTGCAACTGTTCGGAGTCCTCCGAAGCAGCGGCGACGCGCCGTTCAGCAGCTCGCGCGGCCGCCGTCGTAGCATCAGCTGCTGCAGCAAGTACCGCCTCATGCCACTCTCCTCGTTCCAACAACTGCAGCCTATGTCGAATAATCGGCGTAACGCCACAAGAATCCTGAGGCGGACTGGCACCGAGGCCGCGCGCTCCATCAGAATCCCGGAGGTCACGCGCAACAAGGAAATCCAAATGGCGCAGAAACAGCGATGCGCACTCAGCACGCGCCAAATCTGTCTCAGGACGGTGCAGTTCGGACACGAACCAATCCAGCGCACAAGTGGCGACCCTGGTGTACCTGAGCACCAAGCCTTTGGGGATGAACAGGTGCGAGGACAGAGGGGCCACAGCCGGGAGGCCCCGCAGGAGTTCAAGCAGACGTGCGACAAATGCTTCAGTATGATCCCCTCCTTGGCCAGCCCAGGCTGTGCGGTCCTGCACTGGAACTTCAGGTGGTGGCACGTGATGCGCTGGTTGAGGTAGCACGTGAACCGGCCCCATGTGGAAGTTGTGCTGCCCAGAGTCGCCGACGGGAATGCTAGGAGAGTCGTGCTGGCAAGTTGGAGCAACACCGTCAGAACCGGGACCTCCCTGAGAGACCAGCTGCCCCTGTCTCCGGCACGAGGGACAAAACATCGACTCGCATGAAGCACACTTCCACATGCGTGCACGGGTCTGGCGGTGATTGTGGCAGCGGTCGCAATCATAGCCGGCAGCTGTAGAAACGAATACGGATACAAATACGCAGTTGCATCCCGCACGGCACATGTAGTACCTGTTCCGCGTACGGGCCGAATGAGAACAGCAGCGGGGTCCGCATCTGGAGGAGGAACGGACATGGCCTCCCCGACGGCGTGGAGGACCTGATGAACTGCGTCAGCAACAGCTGGATCCGCCTCCTGCGTGTCCTCCACCTCCGCGTCCTCCACAAGCTCCTCCATAGCACCTGTACGTCCACCAGCCCCCACCTCCTCCACTGACACTGCGCAGGACCGGCAGACGGCCGCGTTGCACGGCTCGCACCTGAGCGCGCAGCCACCGCGGCCCCAGCCACCTCCGCAGCGTGCACAGGCGCTGCCTCGCTCAGGCCGCGCCCTCCTCAACGTGGAGCCGCAACCAGGGCACCCAGGGTTGCCACCGGGCGCTGGGTGCAGAGTGAGGGCGCCCACCGGCGACTGAGGCGCAATCTCGAGCCGCTCCTCCCAGACCCAGCCGTCGCGCCCGTCCGCGGGACGCGGGCTTGCTGGCGAGCTACCCCGGGCTGATCCGAAGATGGAGTTCTCCAGCTCATCCTGCCGCATCTCACCACCACCTCCTCGTTGCCTCTCCTGATCCTCCTCCAGGTCGTCGGCGGCGCTCGCATAGTCGCTGGGCGGCGCCACAGGAGTGGGAGGGCACGACCGCTCCCCCAGCGCGACCTCCAGGTGCAGAATGCGCTCCGCAAGGTCGCGCTGGACCTCAGGAAGGGTCTCGGGTGGGCGACTTCTCCATCGAGCCTCCTGGCCAGCCGCCGCATGAGCGTCAACCAGGGCGCGGACCTGCGCCAGGAAGTCGTTGCCAGGACCCGGATGCGGCTCCACGCCCTCCTCCGTGAGATCGCGCAGCCACTCACCGAGTAGTACGCGACGCGGCGCCTCAGTACCTGCTGGGCCCTCGGTGCACCATCTGCCACTGCACCCACCAAGCACGCACAGCATCAGGCGTGACAGCCAGGGCAGCGGCTGCCGACGCGACCGCCGCCTCGCCGCCTGTCTCGATGAGCTTCGCCAGCTTGTAGAGGTACTCGTGCGGGTGAGCCGCGAGGGTGTGCGGCAGGCTGTGTTGGACGGGGTCCCGGAGCGCCCAGGCGCGGCCACTGAGGAAACCGAGTGGCCCGCAGAAGCACGCGACCGCGATGGCGACGCAGACGAAGAAGACCGCCGTGAGGGCAATCGCAACGCCCACCTGCCACCTGGGCAAGCAGAAGAGCGTGATGCCCTCCTCCGACTCCGTGGCCGTCTTGTCCATCCACACCTTCGCCTCCTCCATCCACTCCTTCGCCGCTGCCGCCCCCATGGCCCCAGCCTGCCGAGCAGCATCACGGACATCGGGGTGACTCGCGGCCTGATAAGCCCACAAAGCCCAGGGAGCGCCGCCGGCAGCACCAGCCAGGGCGGCCAAGGCAGCGCCGCCCGGAGCAAAGCGCTGGAGGGCCATGCGGTGCGCCCGGGGGGAGGGGAGAAGCGAACCGGGAACAGGTGAGGAACCCCTTGAACCTCTCTCTCTCTCTCCCTCTCTCCTACCCTTTCCCAGTTGCTCATTTCTCCTGTCCCTCCTACCTCCTCCTGCTACTGATCCTGATGGTGACTTTGCTGCCGCTTGTTCTCTTCTTCCTCCTCATCCTCTTCGCCTCACCCCTCCCCTCATACCATGTCTATGTCTCCTCATCGTCTCTCCACTCATCTCCCTCCCCTAAGACTCATCCTCATCGTCCCTCCCCTCATCGTCCATCCCTCCCATTCCTTCCCTCCCTCCTGCTCCCCTCACGTGAGCGCTCCCCGGGCGCTTTTTCGGGCGCTTTTTCGAGCCGTCCACATAATTCGATGCACTGCAATTCATGCTGATGCCTTCTCACAAGTATTGGCTGCAGCGAAGGATCTGCGTCCTCTCGATGCCACTGCAATCAACAATGTGATATCACCGCGTAGGGGCTCTCCCTTGAGAAAACGGCAAGCCTCACTTCACACCGGTGTGTAGCCGCCGATGTGCCCACACTGGGACTGCCCAAAGCTACGGTCCTCCTCGATACTGGCCTTCGCGGACTTCTCCGCACCCTCGATGGCCTGAAAGAGCGAGTGGGCCGGCCGAGGGAGTGGAGGCTGTGAGCGCCTCATCGGAGATCCTGCTGTCCAACCCCGTTCAGGTCCCAGTCTCAAATGATCTCGATACTACGCGTCCTCCTTTTCTTCGACATGTTGTCGGGCGCTCGCGTGGCGTCAGACAGCAGGCAACCGCGCGACCGACGGAGGACCCAGAGATACTGGAACGCATGCCTGCAACTGCCTCCCACGAGCCTCGAAGCCAAGCGCATTTCAGGAAGGAGACGCAACCCGGATTGCACCCGCCTCCCCCCTCCCTCGAATCAGTCTCCAGACGGCTCATCCGCAGACGGGGAGCGGGCGAGGCAGGCAGGCGAAGCGCCAGAGGCATGCATCTCTGGCAGACAAGGCAGACGCGACGGTGCGTGCGTGACGAGCGCACGAACGAGAGCAGACAAGGGCGAGATGGGGGGCAGACACGGCAGAGCACGAGGCACGAGGTACAACAGCACCTGGCATTTGAGCGACGGAAAGGCGGGTCTTCAACGAGATGGCTTTGCGACCTTGCGCGTTGGCTTACGCGGGCCGCCAGCGCGGCATGCTGCATTGGAAACGAGGGCGCTTATGCGCGACCTGACGCGAGCAGCTTACGCGCCAATGCCGGCGCAAGCGACCCCGTTTTCTTGCGTCGCTCGCTTGAAAAAGAAAAGAACAAACAGCCTTCAGCTCGGCGCTCTCGGAGTCGGCCACTTTCTGCTTCTCTGCGCGCTCCTGGGCAAACACCTGCTGGATCCTGAGGAGCGGGCGCCCCGGGCACGCGCCGAGCGGCTACATTGGTTTGGACACCCTGACCAGGTCTGATCAGGGCCACCTGCAACAATATGTCCAGAGGACGGCAGCACTTCGCATCGCCGTCTGCAACGACGTGTCCAGAGTAAGGCAGCACTTTGCATCGCGTCGGCATGACCCATCCTCGCCGAATAGACAAGCGCGCTCCACTACTCGCAGAGTAACTACTCGCAAACGGCCTGGATCCGACGCGGAGGATCCACGATCCATCACAAAGAGGCTAACATGTGTTTTTGTCAGACGTTTGCGAGTAGGCACTTTGCAAGTAGTGGAAAGTGCTCGGTGACTGAAACAGACGAGCACCCAGAGAACCACGGCATGCCGCACCACGCCCGATCACATGTGATGCATGGCGTGCCAGTGCATGCTCTGGTTACCACATGGATGTGCAAGACTTGTCAAAGCTCTATCCGTCCTTCGCCCCACTTGCCTGCTGTGCCCACGCGCTTTTGAATTCAGGGCCGGCGCCGATCTGATGTCCATCGGTCCATAAAGAACCAAGTGCGCGCGAGAGTTAAACACACAAGCACACAGAAGCGAATAGAAACTGCACCGTTGAAAAGGTCGCGGCCCCAGTGACAAAAAATGCGCCATATCGAATTGAAACCACAATAGTGCATAGAGAGGGCGCTATCGCCAGAGGGAGCGGTACTGAATGGGACGATATGCCACCTGAGATGCGAGCTGCAGCCTCGGCATGCTGTGCACCACGTCCAACATGAGTCTCACATGCATGGTTTGCGACGCGAGTCACTGGGGCCCACATGCACGGTAACTCCTGGCCACCATGCAAACTAGCTTTTCTGGCTGCCGAGCCGCTCGGCGGAGGTGCGCAGAGCAGGGCGTCCGTGGCCTCAGGGATTTTGTACACCTACGGCCAATGACAAGGGCCCTGTGTGAGCCTGTCCGCGGCATCATTGGCATGAACACACGTGGGTGAGCAAACGGTGCGAAAGCGTGCTCTCTGCTCCATCGCCCCCCCCCTCCGAATATCCGATTGACCTCTCCAGCCTCTCCGACCATATTCTGCTTTACAATGCACTGAAACAACTTCTGTAGCAAAGAACCAAGCAGGAATACGCAAGAAAACATCGAGAACAAATACCCGACCAACCACGTTGTGTAGGGGTATATGGTAAGTCCGAGGAGGGAGACACGATACCCTTAAATCAAACGACGCCATCTATCGCGGCCCACTGGATTTGCCGTCATCTGGATCCGTAAAACGCAGCTGTGTGAACTTCAACTCTTGCAGCAACGATTCTGCGTGAGCAGCCACCGGCAAAATGAGCGCCGCCGCAACACAATCGAAACACGATTACACAATGTCGTTCTTCCCTTCAACTCGTTTGCACTTGTACAGCGCACACCATCTTGCGATAAGAACTCCACTCTTCCTGGGACGGCGGTGCTCGCGCGTCTCAGCTCGTACGCACTCCCCTGCGAATCACCGCATTGGGAAGGGATCTGTGGCAGGGGTTGGATGACAGATGTGGCGCGAGCGCACTTTGCCTGACTCTCTACTCTCGAATGTCCACTCGGTATTCTGTACTGAACCCGCCAACGCTGTTTCGACTCGCTGTTTCGTTTGGCTCGTCGTTGTCGTCGGCGTGGTCGTCGCCGTCGCCGCTCCCCCCCCCTTTCCCTGGGCCTTCCTCCTCAAGCGCGCCAGCCACAGCGAAATTCGCAGCGAAACCCCTTCCCGTTGATCCCTTCCCCGCCGGGGGAAGGGGGGCTCCAAGGAGGGGTGTTGAGGGGGTTCCCGTGGGTGGGTCCCGAGGGGGGTTCTGGGTCAGAATACGATCCCCCTCAGGGGGTCCCGGAGCCCAAAAAGGCCCCTAGACGGGCCAGTGCCCCAAGAGGCCGCCAAAACGGTCCTGGAGGGCCCCGAACCGCCGAACGATCAGCCCAAGACGCCCACGTTAGCCTCCAGACGGCCGAAGATACGTGCAAGACGTCCCGAGAGGCACTCCCAAGAGGGCACCAAGAGGCAAACGTCATTGATTTTCAACAGGTTTTGACTGATTTGGGCGTTGTCACGTTTTCGGCGTCCCGACGCTCCAAGACGGCCCAAGAGGTCCCCAAGATCGCATCAAGACGGCCCAAGAGGCCTCCAAGAGGGCCCCAAACCGTCCCAAGAGGGCCCCAATGCGGCCTACGAGGCCTCTACGACGGCCCAAAGAGGCCCCCAATACGGCTCCAAGAGGGTGCCCAGACGGGGGACCCGAACGGAACATTTCGAGCCCTCGGGCCCGAGATGCTCCCAGGATGCCACGAGAGGCCCCCAAGAGGGCTCCAAGAGGCTCCAAGAGATCCCCACGAGCACGAGGCCCCCAAGAAGTCCCCAGAGGCCCCCAAGAGGCTCCCGAGAGGAGAGGCCCCCAAGAGGCTCCCAAGAGGCCCCAAAACTGCCCCCCAGACGCCCCCGAGAGCGCTCCGAAGAGACCCCAAGATGCATCCCTGAGGACTCTGACCCACGTCAGCGTCGTCGTCGTCGTCGTCGTCCTCGTTGCCGTCGTCTCCCTTCAGGGTTGGCGGCACTGGCCGTAAGGCCCTTGCGACGCACTCTATTTCACCCAACACAGCTTACACTTTGTTTTTTACGTGGCTTTCCTCCTCCTCCTCCTCCTCCTCCTCCTCCTCCTCCT